TTCGTAATTCAAAGAAGTTGTTTTATATATAAATTGGGTTGTTTGTAAAAAATGAAGAAAAATAGAGAAAAGCCCATAAAGAAGAAAGGAAGAAGAAGTAAAGGAAAAGAAAATAGGTTTGGTCAGTTTTATCTATTTGATTTTTCTGCACTTGAGTTGATAGTACTTGAGAACCAGATTGAGATTTATGTTATTGACATACGTTCTTGTGATGAATTTGCTGAGTTACAAGGAATTGGTGATTTGGTTAAGAATTTAGTTCGGTTTAAAAAAGAAATTTTGCATACGTTAGTGTATAAACTTGTGAAAGTTGCATTGGTTTTATCAGTTGTGATTGCGACTATTGAAAGAGTTTTTTCTACAATGAATCTTGTGAAAAATCGGTTATGCAATCGAATGGGAGATCAATAGATGAATGATTGCTTGGTCATTTATATTGAGAAATATGTATTTGATACAATTGACAATGAGATGATTATCCAATGCTTTCAGAATAGGAAAACTAGTCAAGGACAATTGTAGAAAAATTGTTCTATTTTTACAAAAATTGTTTTTTCTTTTTAAGATATTTATTTGTATTTTATAACTTTTCATTGAAGCTCATTGTAATGAAAAAAAAAAAAAAAAAGTGTAGTTAGATTGGTTTTAATTTTTTTTTGGTTTATAGTTTGCCCCCATTGAGGGAAATTTGTAGATCCGCCACTCCACCCAACCCTAAAATCTTTAACAAGTGGTATACAATAATCTTTGGTTATACTTTCACAAAAAAAACATTATGAAATACTTTTATCTTAAGAAGTAAAATCCATTCGAATTTTAAGAAGTGGGATACAATGGTCTTTGGTTATACATGTGCCCATAAAGGGACTCGACTCTAAATCTTGCGGGAGAAAGAAAACCATAGACCTGACCATCTAGCTAAACCTACATAAGTAATTGTAATTAACCGATATTTGTTTTAACTTAATAAAAATCCATCCGAGCTTGTAACGTTATGAAATATGTTTTAGTTACAAGAAGTGATAATTTAGATACGTATGAAACCAAAATATCGAACTAATAATGTTACAGAACCAGAATGTGGGGGTGAATGAGTGAGTAAGTGAATACTGACTAAGAGGCAAAAGAGAGGAGGCAGCCATGATTGCTAAAGAGTAAGCAAAGGTTTAATTCACAGGGATGGGCCACCATGGTGCATGATGCTAAAAGAAAAGATACAGAAGAGAAAAAAAAAAAATCTCAACACTCTTCTCTTTCCCCCTTCCCCACCTCACACACTCACCCTGGCCCTTATAAATCTCCCAAAATCCCATGGCTAATCATTTGAATTTTATTTTCTCAGATTTATAAAAGATATTTTTGTGATCATCAACAACAAAAAGGGATGGATCTGATCTCCTTTACACACAAACAAACATACAGAAGATCATATATAAAATTGATTATTTCTGTATGTGCACTGCTTTCACCCCAAAAAGATTCAAAAAAATTTGAAACAACTTTCCCCCATCATTCAAATTTTAAACCAAAGGTGAATTAAAGTAATGGGGTTTATATATAATTGAAGTGAAAAAGATCATGATCTATCAATCAATGAAATCAAAAAGATCACCAACTTTATAGAGATATATACATATTATTATTAATATCTCCTCGATCCCCCATTTCATGCAAAGATTTTCCATTTCTTTTCTTTTAATTAATTTTATCGTATGCTTTTGATAATGACTATAGTTTCAGAAGACTGCTTTGTGTTGTGCAACCTTTTTCATCTTTTTGTCAAATTTTGAGAGAAATTTAATTAAAAAACTTTGTAACAATATGTGCTTGTCAACTTCTCAATTATGTATATTCTCTTTCTCTTGTTTTTATCTCTCTCGGCGGGAAACCAAAGCCTTTTGTAAATCTGAGTACAAACCCGAGTTTGAAACTATTCCACAGAATCCTGTATTAACTGTTTTCGTCTAGTATACTGTTTTAGAACAAATATAGCTTCGTTTGAGGGTATACTTATCAATTTGTGTAGAAAATTGAGTAAGTTGATTATCGATAGGTCAACGAATAATTATTAAGCGAAAATTAGTGCTTAATTCAGTAGAAACTTACTATTGATGATGGTGAATCTTACCTTTACACCATGACTAAGTTCGTCATTTATTGGGTTAAAAAATGACTTAAATTTTGGGGAGTCGAAAATGGTCTCTCTTCTTAATGATATATACACATAACTTAAACCATACTTCAAAGCAAAATGCATTCTTGCAAATTCCTTCATTATCATAACAACTTTTTCAAGCTCCATCTCTGTGCCCCCACACTGTTTAAGAATTAGGTAATACTACGTATCCCTTCATTAATTAATTGCCTCTTCATCTTAATTTCCATTATTAGTGCTGAATTAAAGCTTTACATGATTGGTATAATCTCACTCGTATTCTGATAAGCCCCTCTCTCTTTTGTCAAATTTCCATTGTCATGAATGATCATTCCATATTGAAGAAATCAAAATATTAATGGTCTTAATGTTAAATTAAATGAGTTAATAACTTTTTTCCACCCAAATAATGGTCTATTGACACTTTCCCACCCACGGACTTCCAAAATACTATTTTATTACCTAAATTTGTATTCTGACGACAAATAGAGAGCAAACTTGATCCAAATTGTAGGAGTTTTTGAAGAGGGGAGACCGTTGAGTCTTTTGGTGGTTGGAATTGATCAGAATTTAACTTAGGAGGAGCGGCTAGGCAAACCCTAATCAATCAATTGTGCGATTGGCAGAGTCGGCAAGCAGAGGGTTTGAGAGCTTTTGGTGGGTGATTATCGGAGAAGAGAATAGTGATGGTGTGGGATTGCAACAATACTGGAATTGGAAACATAATATAAATTGAGATACTTAAATGGTATTTTAAGAGTTTGTAGGTGAGAAAGTGTCATTAAACCATTATTTGGATAGAAAAAGTTGTTTACTCAAATTAAAATATAGGAGTTGTTAGCATCGTTAATCCCACTTCATTTCTTTTATAATATATAGTATTTTTCCTTTCAAAAATTGAGTGCCAGCCAATTCAATGTATAATCTAATCTATGTAACAAACGACAATAATAATCAAATTATACACACACACATGAAGAGATTTTTGAAATCTTACAAATATAAGATTTGCGGCGGCTAAGTTTCCCACAAATCACGCCACCAATCACTCCTAGATTTTATATAAAATATATATTGCNAACTGTTTTCGTCTAGTATACTGTTTTAGAACAAATATAGCTTCGTTTGAGGGTATACTTATCAATTTGTGTAGAAAATTGAGTAAGTTGATTATCGATAGGTCAACGAATAATTATTAAGCGAAAATTAGTGCTTAATTCAGTAGAAACTTACTATTGATGATGGTGAATCTCACCTTTACACCATGACTAAGTTTGTCATTTATTGGGTTAAAAAATGACTTAAATTTTGGGGAGTCTAAAATGGTCTCTCTTCTTAATGATATATACACATAACTTAAACCATACTTCAAAGCAAAATGCATTCTTGCAAATTCCTTCATTATCATAACAACTTTTTCAAGCTCCATCTCCATATGCCCCCACACTGTTTAAGAATTAGGTAATACTACGTATCCCTTCATTAATTAATTGCCTCTTCATCTTAATTTCCATTATTAGTGCTTAATTAAGCTTTACATGATTGGTATAATCTCATTCGTATTCTGATAAGCCCCTCTCTGTTTTTTGAAATTTCCATTGTCAAGAATGATCATTCCATATTGAAGAAATCAAAATATTAATGATCTTAATGTTAAATTAAATGAGTTAATAACATTTTTTTCCACCCAAATAATGGTCTAATGACACTTTCCCACCCACTGACTTCCAAAATACTATTTTATCACCCAAATTTGTATTTTGATGACAAATAGAGAGCAAACTCGATCCAGGTTGTAAAGGCTTTTGAAGAGGGGAGGCTAATGAGTCTTTTGGTGATAGAAAGTTGTATTTTGGTGGCGGCTAGGCAAACCCTAAGCAATCAATTGTCGACGATTGATGGAGTTGGCAATAATAGGGTTTGAAAAGTTTTGATAGGTGATGATCGGAGAAGAGAATGGTGGTGGTGTAGGGCCATAATAATGCCAGAATTGAAAACAAAATATCAATTTGGGTAGTTAAATGATATTTTAAGAGTTTGTAGGTAAGACAGTTTCATTAAGCTATTATTTGGATAGAAAAAATTGTTTACTCAGATTAAATTATAGGAGTTGTTAGCATCGTTAATCCCACTTCATTTCTTTTATAATATATAGTATTTTTCCTTTCAAAAATTGAGTGCCAGCCAATTCAATGTATAATATAATCTATGTAACAAACGACAATAATAATCAAATTATACACACACACACACACATGAAGAGATTTTTGAAATCTTACAAATATAAGATTTGCGGCGGCTAAGTTTCCCACAAATCACGCCACCAATCACTCCTAGATTTTATATAAAATATATATTGTTTAATTAATCAAGCTATAAAATAGTAAATAAAATATAACATTAACACAAATTCATACATACTTTATTATAAGATGAACATGAGGTTAGACTATATATATATTTTCCTTTGTTTCAGTTGAGTTTCATGTAATTTAATATAAGATTGATTTCACAGAAGAATAGAAGAAGGTACGAGAAAATAAAGAAACAAAAGCTTCGCAAAATTGTCAAACTTCGAACGTACACATTAATTGAGACAGCACATCTTGAGGATAAAAGCCCACCATTTGTATAAGAATAATGTATATAAATAAGAAATTGACAATAAAATAAACAAAACAAAAAAAAAAAAAAACGAACTAGTATTTACATTAATAATTAATTCACGTGTTCTCTAATTTATGTTTTCTGGTCGTGGTTACGATGGAGAGAACATAAAGATTCCATCTTTTTTCATGAATAATCATAGTAATAATAATAATAATATTTGTGAATATATATATATATATTTTTTTTTGTATATGAGTTTTCATGTACTAATCTGAAGAACATATCCATGATTCCACCATACCTTCGGTTCTTGTTGTTGTGCCGACATTTTCTTGGACTTTCTCGCGGAGGAAATCCGAAGAAGAAGCCGAGAAAGTGTTGACTTTTCCGTTGGAAACTCGCTGCTGAGAGTTGTTATTGTAGTTGTTGCCGCCGCCACTGAATGGTGACCTCAACAGGCCTTGATGATCACTCTCATTCGCCGTCCCGGCCGCCCCCGCTTGATCGTTCTCAAACGTCGGAGTTGAAGACACAATGTTTTGGAGACCGCCGCTGTTGAGGTTTGTGTTGAGATGTCCATGGCCGCTCAAACCAAGCTCCTCTAAAACACCAATCTTGAGATGGGATTCTTCGTTTGAGGGATGATGATGATTCATGTTGTCCAACGAAGACGGCGACCCTTGAGGCTTATTTGCAAGAATGGTGGAATTTGAAAGTGAGAATTTGTTTTGGGGTTGAAGGAGGGATTGTAAATTGAGAATTGGGTTTTGCATGGTGGAGTTGTTCATGTTGAGTAGGTTTTGGTAGTTGATACTAGTGTTATTATGGTTGTTATTGTTATTGCTAGGAGTTGCAGAAGTGAGGTTAGTGGAAGTAGAAGCAGCAGCTATGGCGTCAATCATGGAGGGAGAAGAAGAAGAAGTGGAAGGAGTTGAAGAACAAGGAGGAGAAACAAAAGGGGGTAAAGTGTGAAATTTCTGAGCAAATGGCCTTAAAAGATAAGGTGGGGAAGGATCTAAATGAGAAGATGATGATCTCAGAGAAGAAGTAGAGGTGCCAAATAGATCAAGTCTGGTTCTTGGAAAAGGCGAGGAGGTGAACGGTGGCGCCGGGATCCCTGTAAATTCCTGAACCATGGCTCGGAAATTTGAGGTGTCCGTCGTCAAAACAGTGGTGGGTGCACGCCGAGAAGCTCTAGATCTCTTCTTCGGGTTCCTCACCAAACTGTTGTTCCCGCCCCCTCCGCCGGTGTTGGTGTTGTTGGTGGTGGCCATGATCGGGTTGGTTTTGTCAATATTCAAATTTGAAACACTCTCCGTTTGGTGATGATGATGAGGAAGATTATGGAGAGGAGAGAAAGTGTTGGCTCTAGACGGTGGAAGAACGGCCTGGTTGGTGAAGAGTTGTTGAGTGCAAGAAGAGGAGGAGGAGGAGGCGGCCATGAAGGCTCCGCCGAGATCGGGTTCAGATCTTAAGGTTTTGGGCCAAACCATATCGAGATTAAGCAGAGAATTCGGGTTGGATGATCTCGAAGAAGTGTCAAAGTAATTTGACAAGGGGTCAAACATAGAAGCATGGTGGTGGTTGTGGTGGTGGTGGAGTTGTTGCTGCGGTGGCTGATGTGGTGGTGGTGGATTCAAAAAACTTGAAATGGTGTCAGCGCGTGAATCATACTCTTCATCTCCCCCACTTGACGATTGCATACTTCCACTATTTCCAGAATCCATAACCAGAGAGATATATTTTGCTTCTGCTTTTTGCTTTTACTCACACACACTCATTTAAGAAGAGAACAATATGTATAAGTATATGTATATATATTTATATATATATATAAAAGCAAGAAAACAAAAGGAGGAGAGAGATCTTCTGGAAGAGAGAGCTGAGGATCAGAAAGTACCCATGTCTTTAAGGCCTTCTGATCTGCAAACAACAAGACAGAAAGCTCTTTGTCTTTGAACACAAACAAAAGGGAAAGAATTTAATTAAGAGCAGAGAATAATAAACACCCCACGGAGGATGATGATGGTGCTGTGCTGTGCTGTGCTGATGCTGATACTGATGATGGTGGTGAAGAAGCAGAAGAAGAAAGAAAATATCTCTCTTTCTTTCACTCTCTTTTTTATATCATTAGGGTTTTGATATCAATTTCAGGAAGAGAAATAATAATAATGAAGAGAAAATAGAAAAGATTTTTGTTTAATTATGAAGGCAAAAAGAGGGAGGGCTGGTTCTACTTCTCAGCTCCTGCTTCTGTTATGGTTAAGATCAGCGTGGGTCAAAGTATGAGTTAATTAAGATTAGGAATGATAACCATAATCCCCCTCAGCTATAATCGAATAACAAAAATCTGTCTATGGTTATAATAATAACAAAAAACTCCTTACTTTGTATATACATATTTATATGGGGACTTTGTAAGTATATTATTATTCTTAAAATTATTGGACTAATATAATGTTGAGCTCTTACCTAGTAGCTGAAGCTTCGGGTGAGTCAAAGTTCTAAATTTCTAATTCCCACATTGCATTTTTTTTTTTTTAGGAGGTAATCGAGGTATCTGGACCAACTTATGTGTAGCTCAACTAATCTCTAAAGCCCATTGAACATTCTACAAACCAAAAAGACCAGGTAAGTCACAATGTGATAGGTGGCCCAAAAGTTTGAATCCAATATTTTAATGAAGGGAGCAAACATCTTTGACCGTCAGACCAACCTCTTTGGGTTGAAATTAAATAAAGGAAGTAAGATGTCTATTAGATCAATGTAATGTTGAACTGTCACCTATTAGCTTAAGCATTTCTGGAATCTTATTGTATACTAACAGATCATTAACGACAATGACATTTTTGTATACTAACCGATCACTAATGACAGGGAAATTTTTGTCAATTCTGAAATCTAAAGAGAGATTTTGTTACTTGATCAAACCTCAGGGGGGTCAGGAATAATAACCCTTGAAGATTTGTGTGAAAAAGAAGGAAAAGAAAAATTAATTGAATTCTAATTACAGTGAAAATAATTAATTTTTGTTTAATTTGGATAATTTTGTGGGAATAATGAGGTGGGGAAGCGAACAAATTAGGGAAGATGGTTGTTGAATGGTTTAAAGAAAAGATAACAACCATATCACCGCCATTATAAATAAATGAAATTATTATATTTTTTTTGTCTTATGTTTAATTTGTGTATCCAATTATTGCTACTTCGGTGTTAATCACAATTTAATTAATATAATAATTAATTGATTAATCCTTTGACTAAGTCAGTAAGGCTGTTAAAAAAATTATTCATAGATTAATTAAACAAAGGAGAAGCTCAGAGAATCTTACACAGCTGATATTTTCTCACTACTTTTTACTATATATAAATTTTCTCACTACTTTTCACGGTACTGTTTGGGAGAAAAGAAAGTAGCAGAAGCAAAGAAAAGTATCAGATTTTATTAGTTTGTGATGGATAGATCAGTTCAACAACATCTCTAAAGTTCGCTGCAACCATCAAAACTAAAAAGAAACTATATATTACATATAAATATAATAAACTTTATGATATTTTAATTTTAATTTTATATATATATATATATTTTTTTTTTAAAGCTATGGGTTGTATTTGCCCCTACAGGACCAAACCCTAACCCTAAATTCATGATTTTTTACGTCTTCCAATTCTACACGAAAAGGTTACAAAATTAAAGCTGCTTTGCATTTATTAATACAAATATTCACTTTTTTTTTCCCCCTTTTTTCTTACCCTTGCTGTTTCTAAAATTACCCTTGAGGTACATGTTTGAATGCTTCTATGTAGAGTTGATAATGGCAACTCTTACACCACACAATTTGATTTTATATAAATGGAAAAAAATAAATAAATGATTTTGTATATATATCACATCATTATGTAAATTTGTAGTCCATAATGTTGATACGTAGTATATCAGAGGGGTTTTTATGTTAACGATTCAATAATATTATCAAGCCAATCTTTATCATTTGATATCATTACAAAAATTTCAACCGTAACCTAATGATAAAAACAACTGATTGAACCGATAAAGGACATTATAGTCAAATTCTTATGACTTGTGTATTACAATATCGATACGACATTGAAGAAAGTTATATTGGTTCTGGTTCGATAATGTTATCATGTCAATTAATTTCTATCATCGTTGTCACAATGAAAATTTTGAGCATGACTTAATGATATAGTTGGCTACTGAACTGATAAGGAAGCGTGAAGCGGCAAAAGAATGACATTATAGTCTATAATACAGTGACAATACAATATTGAAAGAAGTTATTGTGTGTTTTGTTCGATTATTGAGTCGATTCTTATCGTTAAGAAAAAATTTAACTACGATCGAACGACAAAAATAGTTCAATAGAGATATACATTATACGATCCGCCAAAACAAGGAACCACGTGGCCAATCAAGAGTTTGATTTCAAAATCACTTACCTAATTATGTCTTATTTAAGTTACTTGAGCCTGTGAAACTAGTGAGTTTTAACTGTTTGTGGGTTCATCAATGGAGATTGATTGGACCCTCAATCATTTTCAGCCTCATATAATGTTGAAAACACACTCACTTCTTCCATCTCGACCGTCGATTCACTTGATGAGGATACTCTCATTAATCACTTAATTAATCAATGATCAATCAACTAAGGAAAGTGAAACCAAGAGATATTGCTTATACTCTTCCGGGTGAACTCTCACTCTCAATCGTCTATTTGATAATTTGGATAAATAGTTTACGATCCTAAACCTTTATCTTGACCCGATTTTGACCTAATCACTCCTCATACCTAAATCTTTATCTTCACTGGACTACTCTTGAGACCTGACTCAACTCGACTTTTTTTTTTTTTTTTTTTGTGTTACTCTCCTAAACATTTATCTTGAATCAGCCTAATTGACTGATCCCGACTTTTTTCAATTAAAATCTTAAACCTTTATCTAGACTCGATTTTGACCACTACGTAGAGATTCGACTCAACCCTACTTTTTTCCGAGTGGAGACAACAGATCAGATAAAAATCAATGATATCAGATATGTTTGCTATCCATAACCCATATCCGAGCTCAGAATTATAAGATAATGCAACAAAATTCACGAGAATAATAACTTTGGATTTAATAGAATTAATCAATAGTACATGATAGATAACATATTTAAATTAAACTTAATCAAATTATAAGAATCTTTCTGTTGGATTTATAAAATTTAAAGGTTGGGGTCCTCAAAGAATTGTCCCTGGATTATTGTATTAAATTCATGAAGTATTTAATAGCTTTTTGGGCCAGAAAATTTAGAGGATGGGCTTAAGCAGAAGAGAAGGACAGGGTAGAGTGTGTTTGAGGTGTTTGGAAAGAAAGTGTTTTTTCTTCTTAAGAAAAACGTTTTTTTTATTTATTTTGCAATTTGTTGTTAATTTGTTATGTATTTATTTCCATATAAGAAATTAAAATGTTTTATATATTTCAAAATTGAAAACACACATTGTGCAATATAACAAAAATGTTTTATAAATGGAAAGAGAGAAATTAGAGCCAAATGATAAAAAAAAAAAAAAAAACCTTTTATAATAATAATAATATTTTTTAGTTATTTGGTTACGGTTTAGAGAATTCATCAATATAATCTTCCCACGATCAATAATAAAAACTCGTTTGTATTAAGCTTATTTATCGAGTAAAAGTGTTTTTTAATGTCCAAAAGCTCTCTTTTGCTTTTAGTCAGGGAAGGTCAAAATTAAATTTTGATAGTCTTTATTTCAAGCAATCGTACCAAATAGACCCTAACAATACTTGTGTCGTCGGAAATTTTATTAATCATAGAATTGATTAATAATAATAAAAATCCGTATGACGTGTAAGAGTTGTTAGAGAATTAATTATAAACATGTTTAAGAGTTGCTTAAGATTAATTAATTAAGAAACCCAAGTTTGGATTCAATTAGGTAGAGAAATAACTGTTAAATCCTTAAGATTTGCTAGGGTTGTCGTCCAACTTGACCTAACAAGTCCAGCTTGACTTCAAGGTTAATTTATAGTAGTATTTTATTATATATAGTTAAAGAAAATAACAAGGAACTTAATTAATTAGGGTTTGTGCCTTGACTTAGAGCATCGATTCATATTCTTTTCAAAAATACAAATGGGATTAATTTCTTGCTTTAGAAATTGCTTTGTTTAGGAGATACTAATTCTAGCTAATACCATTAATTATGTAATCTTTAACTTTGATTCTCTAGGCTTAATCACCTGATTAATTATTGGAATCTTCTCCTTTATGCCCTTTATCACTACAACTACAACAAGTTCGAATAATTCTACACGTACAAGTTATCTATTAAAAGAAAATTAAGTGCAACTTCCCGAAATTTTTAGTGAATGAATCAAAAGTGGACATTCAGTCTCTGATTTTTTATTTTAGGATTTCTAAAGTTAATAATCAAACTCTCGTTTTTTTATTTTTTTTAGGTATATGAGGTATCCATGTTCACATTGGAGCCTGCCTAATCTTACGGGTTACGGAACACTATACAAGACCAATTAACTAAGGTAATTGTATAAATGTGGTAAGTATCTCTCTTGAACACAAGAATCTTTGGGTATAGTTAACCTCAGTTGTTAAAGGGTTTATCATCCAGCCACAAGGGGAGAGGTCAGACTCTCATTTTTAGGGGTGTTAAAAAAAATACAAAAACCGAACCGATAACTGAACCAAAAAAACGGTTCGGTTATGGTTCGAAAAATTCAAAAAACCGGATTTTCGGTTTTGTTACCGGTTCGGGAAAAAATAAAAAGTGGTTAACTGAAACCAGTTTTTTGAACCGGTTTTACAAATATATATATTATATATTATATATTAAATAAAAATAAAAATATATATTATATATTAAATAAAAAATAACAATATAATATATTATATATTAAATAAAATAATAATAATAGTTTTAATGTATTGTTAGTACTTAGTAGTGATCAATGGATAAGTATCAATGTTTAATTTTTATTTGGATATATATTGTTTATATTTATAATTTAATTTAGGAAAAAAATAATAATAAGTTTTATAAAAAAAAGGGGCAAAACCGGTTCAAAACCGGAAAACCAGTTTTCCCTCCAAACCGGTTCGGAAATTTTTCAGAATAGAAAAACCTATTCGGTTCAAAAAAACGGTTAACCGCTTTTGAACACCCTTACTCATTTTGATCTATGCGTTAAAAATATCAAGATTTTCACATTAAAGATTGACTAAGTTTTATATATATATAATGAAACTATATATACAATAATAATGCTCATTCTCCATGCATAATATATTCCCCAAATCAGAATTTCTTCAAGAATATTAATCAATCAGAATATTTTTTTTTTCCTTTTTTTCTGGTGCCTTTTTTTAATTTTTCTTTTTCTTTTTCGGTGGTTTCCCCTCTGGTGTGTTATTCTTCGCCACCTATGTAGAATCAAACAACTAAAAAGCCAGATACAAATTAAAACTACTATTAAAAGAAATGAAAAGAATTAAAATGGAATATATCAGAACAATTAAATTTTAAAAAAATATATACATCATGCAGTATAATTAATAAAGATTCCACACACTTTCATAATTGAATGACATGTTAATAAAGTAATAATCGTGTATCAAAATTCTTCGTTACAGGGTTTCACATTTTTTTTAAGATTCAGAATTTCTTCTACTATCGTTGTTAATAAATGTTAAAAGATTGAATTTCATAATTTTTTACGCAAGATTTTTTTTTATTATTAATTTTTTTATGTGGGTAATTAACATTAAATTGAACTGGATTGGATCATGGTTGTCAAATCGTATATCGTATCGTGTATCGAAAATCTAATTTTTCGAATCGTGTATCGCGTATCATATCGTATCGCAGGATACACATTTTTCAAACAAATTAATAAAATAATAAATATTTTCTAAAAATTAATATCATCCCATAATTAATTAACAAATTTTGTGGTATTATTGACTTTAAATTATGGTATTACATAATCAAAATTAATGCAAAATTAAGAATTTATATCATTTCTAAGATCAATATCAATGTCAATATCTATAACTCTACTTGTGTTATTATTATCATGCAAATTGGACAACACATATTCCTTTTTACTTTCTTCATGTAAAATGTGTAAATTTGTGCAGGTTTTAGTGAACTGGATTGGCTGACTCGGATTCGACCTGAATATTTTTTTGAACCTTTGGCTTAAATTAATAAAGTCGTATCGATATTTTTAAAGATACAAACGGATACGTATTGTATCGTAGGATACATATCAATGTATCGAAAAGTTTATGATACACTCTCTGATATGTATCGTTGACGATTCTTATCGAATTGTATCATATGATATGTATCGCGTATCGTAGGATTCTAATAATCATGGATTGGATTATGTTAAGCATACAATAAAAAGGCAAGATATTGTTAGATTTTTGATAGTTGGATCCATTGAACCATGTTGTGGTTGTGGGCATGAAATTAAACACAAAAAATGTGGAAAAATAAATTATAGTGGTTAGGATGCAACATGTTGGGCATGAGGATCACATTGTTGAAGATTCAAAACTAAAGGGGTGACAAGGAGATTTGAGTCAAACATATTAAAAGTCTTAAATAGAAGATAGGTCAAAATGGTCTTACGTATCTGCGGCACAAGATCCAAGGCTCTGACCAATTGATTTTCCAACAAGAATTTGACAAATTAACCACGTGTTTTGTATTTTTACCAATTCTAAATTCGTTATTTTAAAAAAAGAATATGTTTTAGACAGTAAAATACAATGATCGGATTGGTTAAATTAGACCGGATTTTTTATCTGCCTATATGGGTTTGGTGTGGGGACTTGACTAGATCATTTGATGAAATTAAAAGTGTAATTGGCTAACTCTATAATCTGATAATTTGAGTCTAGTGTCAATTATTTGTGGCCACAAAATTATCTAGTTGCACTGATGAGAGAATTTTTTTTGGGTCCAATGAAGGCTCAAACTTCAACAAGAGCCCATACCAATTAAAAGAAATAGGCCTTTGTTTTGGGTTCAATGAAGGCTCCAACCTGAAAATAAGCCCATGAGCCCAATTTAAAGAGGCCTTTGTTTTGGGTTTAATGAAGACTGATAACTCAATGTGAGCCCATGAGCTAAATTTGAAGAGGCCTTGGTTTTGGGTCCAAAATGGGCTCAAATCTCATAGAGTTCTCATAGGAATTTCGGACACCTATTGAAGTTGCCTTTCTCACTTAATTTTTTTATTCCCGAGATGTTTAGGCCAGTTTGCACACATCTCGATTAATCTTCGAGACTTTAAAGTTAACAATCAAATAAACTTTCCAATGGTCATCCTTATTAACAAACAAAGGGAATTGAATTCAAGATTTCTTGAGTAATAAATCCAAGAGTCTCTATCACCCTATCCGACTATCCAGTGATGATTTTTTAAGAATATTTGAGGGATCCTTTCCCCTAACTCATCTCATTTTCATATAATGAGTTTGTAATCTTAAGTTTAATTTCTCTCCTCTAGTTTTAGTATAATCTAAGTTGAGCAAATGGATTCATATTTTGGAATTCTCTAATGGAAAATACTTGGTAATTTGGGAGAATCTTGACATCACAATTTACATTCTCCCAACACATTTCATCCATGCAAAGTACCACGTGTCTCTTCCCATGCAAATTACCATCTTTTCTTTTAGAATCAAACAAGATAAAACTCAAAGCTTTTCCATTGGAATCGCCAGAATAAAAAAACAGAAGACCTATGTCAAAGAGCTGGCTACGCCAAGGCATCAACAGGGTGACTCGAGTACTGTCAAGATCGGAACCAAAGAATCAATCAGACTTTCCAATTCTCGAAGGCCACCCAGCTGCACAACAACATGCAGAAATAGCTCTTGACACTCATGCCACTGTTAAAACTAACATCAAGAAGCTGGTCAAGGAGTTCAGGATTTATCGATGGAGCCCCGACCACCCCACCAACAAGCCCTTTCTCCAAAGTTACTTTGTAGATCTCTCCGATTGTGGCCCCATGGTAAATTTGACTCCAAACACTTTAGTAGTAAGGATGGACCTGTTAAGGGGAGAGTGGGGGCTATTGACCCCAATTAAAATCTAATCTTTTTTATCTGACTGTATTAAATTAGTTATAATCTCACTCACTCAGTTTTTATGTAATAATATTAAATTATTTAACTTCTGGCTACTAACATTAATTTCTGGCTCCGTCCCAGGCCGTCAGTCTTTGAAAAAGTATAAATCTAATCTTATGCTTTCTTTTGTAAAGGTTTTGGATGCGTTGCAGAAGATAAAAGCAGAGAGTGATTCTAGCTTGAGCTACAGGAGGTCATGCAGGGAAGGGATATGTGGATCGTGTTCCATGAACATTGATGGGACTAACACTGTGGCATGCCTCAAACCCATTGATGGAGACACCAGCAAGCCCACTATAATTACTCCTTTGCCTCATATGTTTGTCATCAAAGATCTTGCTGTTGATCTCACCAATTTCTACCAGCAATACAAGTAAGTTGAGCTACCTAAGCTCCAAGCTCTCATAATTTTCATTCATTGCCAAACCGTTGTTTAGAGTTCTGACAATTTTGTGTATATTGTAATGGCATATGTAGAACGATTGAGCCATGGCTTAAGACCAGAAAGCCGCCCAAGGATGGGCGAGAGTACAGGCAATCACCTGAAGACAGAAAGAAGCTAGATGGTCTATACGAATGCATATTATGCGCTTGTTGCACTACTTCATGCCCTTCCTATTGGTGGAACCCTGAGGAATTCCTTGGACCTGCAGCTTTGTTCAATGCTTATCGATGGATCCGCGACAGGTAACTCATTCCACATTCTCACCTGCTTTACAAATAATCATATGTCGAAATGCCTCAAAATTTGGAGAGGACATAAAACTCCTAACAAGGAATAACATTTATTTTCACTACATTTATATCACAAAAGTTTCATCCTCGAAACCCCCGAAGGTCGAGTGCTCAAGGGCATAGTAAGGTATCGAACAAACGGTTTGCTGTGAGCTTTGAGTTGGTTTTGTTAGTACTTGTGAATATACACTGCCTGTGGTGTTTGAACTAAAGAAGGTGTGTTTGTTTTCGACTGCAGCCGGGACGATTTCACGGGCGAGCGATTGCAAGCGTTGACAGAGAACCAGAAGAGATTATACAGATGCAGAACGATCAAGAACTGCACAGCAACATGTCCCAAAAGTTTGAATCCTGCAGATGCCATTAACAAAATGAAGACTAAGCGCTTGCTTTCTCAACCAGTAAAATGGCTTGAAAGCATGTAAAATTGAGCACTCTTTCCATGCAGCCTTACCAAACAACTTAAAATTAAAGCCAATAATCTAATTTTATGTTCCTGTTTTCATGTTCTTATTTAATATGAGAGACTTGTAACACAACTTACATGCTTGTTAATTATAATGCTTTTGTTACATGGGACATAAAGAAACGAGATTTTTTTTTTTTTTAATTGGAGTGTTTGAAACCGCTCTTAAAGTTTGTTATGCTTAAGAAAATAGGGCTGACATATAATCTTGTCAGCATTGGATGGTCAGAGCTTAGGAAGGTTTTGCGACCGTTCAGGTGCGTTCACCTCGCATAATGACATAAGTAGCATGCCCTATCAGTGCAGTGGGTGAGTGCCAAGTTAGCGGATGGTTGGAAGTCGTCCACGTGTCAAATCCCTGCATAAGTCAATAAAATCATTCGGGTAGGTGACTAATGAGATGTAGAGAATGATCTGCACGGTATCCACTCACTAGCAAATTTAGTAATTATAACTTTGGTCCATCCCACTATAAATAGAGGATTTCTCTTTCATTTGCGGGATTGACTAATTTCATGCTGGAATAGCTTACTCTCTCTCTTTCTCTATCCCTTATATTCTCTAAGCTGTAACTCAATTCGCATAATGCGACCTGATCTTATTCATTAATAAAACATCAGTGGACGTAGGATTTACTTCTAAGCATCCAAACTACTTTAAACATTGCTTCTCACCTTTTACTTAATTGAACATTTTCATATCACGTGTCACTTTTAAGTCCGTTTAGCTTTTCTCACATGCGAATAGTTGGTGTCAAAATCGAGCATCAACAAAGTTAACAATAAGGTAAACTCTCTCCTGTACCTAAAGTTAACGATCAGATAAACTTTCTACTGATCACTTCTGTTAATAATTGAAGAAAATCGAACTCAAGATTTCTTCAATAATATACTTAAGAGTTCCACCAACTTCTATTAATAATTGAAAGAAATTGAACTCAAGATTTCTTCAATAATATACTCAAGAGTCCCATCACTCCACTCGGAAATGAGTGTTTTTCTTATATTTCCTCACTAATCTGTCTTTACACTAATCAAATAACAAATTCAAGCAAGTTTAAAGGTCTTATTAAACAGTTACTCAGTCCAAATTCCAAAGTATAGAATTTTGGGCAATTTTTTTTTTTTTTTTATATTTTATTCAAGAATCAAATTAGTTAAGATTAAAATTTGCTTATTTATGTAAAGTCCTGCACCTGAAAGTTGATAAATGGGATTTTTCCTTAAAGCTTTATAGATATATATACAAGAGAATTACCTTAAATATTCATGCCACAATTTTCAGAAACATACTGATAAATGATAAAAATTTAGAATTCAGACTGATTAATATACAATATATTTTATGTATTGGAAAAAAATACTTCAAATTTATACAACCCAAATTAATGGTGGAGAATAATTTGACCTTAATATCGAACACCCAAAATTAACACATTAAAAATTGTCCCAAGTGATATAATAAAAACTCTTACAATAATAAATTTTATTAATTTTAATTTTATATATTAAATACAGTAAAACCTCTATACAGTGATACTCTATATTGAAATAAACTCTGCATAGTCATAAAAAATTATATTTTTAATTTTGGGATAGTTATAAATAAGAATAAACTCCACATTGTAATAAGTTATAATTTTTCTAATTCTTGTCTTAAGGAAAATTGCATCCACATAGTAATAATTATTTGTATACTACAAAAAAAAAAAAAAATATGGTATGTTACATTAGGTTTAAGATGAAATAAAATATTTATCTGAAGTTGTTTAGGACAATAATTTATACTTTAGAGTTGTTATTATATCTTTTAACTTGCAGGTATATTACTCACTAGCACGAACATTGTCTTGTTAAAGCCAAAACATTTCTAGCTTCTCGAGGAGCTTCTTGACATGAAACTTTTATTATTTTCGTACTATCAACCTCATAATTATTTATTTTCTCTTATTGTTTAATTGTAGAAATGATTTCTTCTTTTGTTAAATCATATATGACTTGTTACTCATTTGGATGATTAAGAAAGACATTAATATTTATTCGATTAGTATAGTGAAGTTGTCGAATCTAATTACTTAATTCTACAATGACTCTTTGATTCTCCTCATCTACTTCATTTGTAACTTGCAATTATCAACATTGGAAGTCCTGCTTAAAATAATTGGCAATTCTCTGTGACTTCACATCAGTTGCCATGCAACAACCATATTTATAATTCCATCAAGATAGTTGTCTTTGTTGGTTTCAAAACACGATCTTCTATCTGTTTCAAAAGTAGGTAATTCAAGCGTTGAATTGGAACCCTAATATTATTAAAACATAAATTGAAATCTTAATATTGCACTACTAAAATAAGAATTATAAAATAAGAAATCTTTTTTATCTACATCATTATAACCTCTTAATAGCAATAAAACATGTTAATCCCACCGTTACTATTACTAGCAAGATAGTTGTTTTAATGAATTATCAAAATCAAAATCAAAATCAAAATATACTTGATCGTCGGCAACAAGGCAAAATTTTCAAAATAAATCAACATGAGTTTTTGGGGTTTAAAGAACAATTCTTGACAAACCCATCACTAAATTTTCCCACTAAAAATGCCCATATCTCGCTTTCTTTTATTTTCCTCCAAACACCGCTTCAGACACCCTCTGAATCTCCTTCGAAGGTCTCTCCTTTAAACCCTTTCAACCTTCTGTTTTTGTTTTGTATATTTGTTTTGAAATTTCTGATTCATGTTAGGTTTTGATTCATATTTCTTGTAGATTCATGTAAGTTTTGATTCATAGTTCTGTTTCAAGTGGTTGAGTTGTGTTAAAATTTGTTCTTGGGAGTAAAGTTAGCTGCTTTATTACTATTTGTGAACTGGGAATGTGCAGATAAGTTTTGTTTAATATTTTATATAAAAATACGGTCTTGGGTGTAAATTTAGTTGCTCTCTTGTCATTGTGAATTGGGTTTGTTTGATATTAGTTGTTGGTTTGGTTAATTTTCAGATATAAAGTGTTTCTAAATTTGAGATTGTGTAGTGTAGATTCTGTATTTGAAGAAGAAATGGTGTTTAGGGGTATTGGTTTTCCTGTTATTGAGAATATAGTTGGATAATGAGGTTCCAACTTTTGGAGTGATGGCTGATTTTGTTCTGCTCTTAGCTTTTTGGTGGGCATAGATTAATGTTGAAAGGTTCAGGAAGTTCTAGCTTTATATATGAAACGAAAAACGTGTGTGTTTTTCATTGATTTTCTTTGTTTCTGATGTTTAGATTTATTCTTGGTTATGCAAATTTGGTGTAGGTTTGATACGTCAAAGAGAGTTCAGACTTGTAGCTACACGAAATCTTCAAGACAGAATCATGGAATGCCAGATGGTAGTCCTGTAATGAATGTAGAAACAAAGGCTCCTCGTTCATGGAGTACTTATGTCATTGTATGCTACCTTAGCCCCTTTTCTCTTTTCTTAAGTGATATGTGCCGGACATTAAGTCGTGAAAATTAGTTGTCATGTTCTGCTTGGAAAGAGATATCTTGGTAATTAACCATTTTTAACTGGTTCCTTATTTGTTTATTTACTTTTGCAGCCTGCTGCTCTGCTGGGATTTGCCGGACTAGCAACTATTGTTCATTATAATGACGAGAGGAGAGCTATTCCAAAAGGTTCTAATTTAAGTTTCAGTATTATTACCTGACTTATGATCTTTAGGTTTGCCATTTTAAATTGATTCTTCCTGGTCTTCACTCATGAGTTAAACCAAGAACTTTTCTGCATCATATAAATCAAATACAAAACTTTTGCAAGACCATTTATCTCAACTATCTTCAATGCCAGTCTTTCTGATGATATGTTCCTGCATTTGGCTCACTCAATTTGGAACCTTTTGTGTGAGTTTGTTAGATTTTTAGTCATGATCTCACTGAGCTTGGATAAGATCTCTGACCCATGCCCCAAAAAATGCAATTCATTTTTAAAACTTTTGAAGTGGAATATTTTCACATTAGCCCTGCAAAAGAACTTGTTAAGCTCAGTATGCTTTTTCCTTTTCTAACTGTCCCATCATAGTTAGCTGCTTTGTAGTGTTTAACTTTTGCTGAAGTTTCTACAGAGTATGGAGCAGAAAAATATTCCTTCTGAAAACGATTCACTGGATAATGAACAGTTGTAAAAATTACTCAAACATGTCCTAGATGGTAGGATAGTATCCTTGCATTTTCTTTATGAACTAAACATTTCGGATTAGATTGGGTGTCTGGTACATTATAGGTTCAACATAAATCATTATATAAAGTGAAGCATTAGTCAAGAGTAAGATTCATATTACCATTTCCATCTGATGGTAGTAAGATTCATATTACCATTTCCATCTGATGGTTCTAGGGATTTAGGGCACTGTGTACTTAATGAATTCTTTGCCATCAATCCTGACTCTTCTTTGATCAAGTCCTACCGGCAATCACAGTTCACCTTGAAAAAGATGAAATGTTTGCTGCTACACTTTAGGATATTCACTACAACTAGAGTTATTGCAGCCACTTTCTTTATGTTCTGAAATGTTCGGAAGCCTTAATGTGATGAATTTGTTATGTTTGTGGTTCTCGTGTACTGTTGGTTAGTTTTGTAATATGGTAGTACCTTAAGCACTTAAGAGGCGTCGTTTTTAGCATTTGAACATGAGGATTAATGCTAAGGCTCTTTGGTTTTTGGGCATATTAATTAGGAAAATGAGTACATACCTGCAATAATGCTTTTATAGGAACAATGCTAGTCCAGAAGAGTATTCCTAATTTGCAACTTTGAGATTAGTTGCATGAATTGATATTTGAACCAAAGAATTTACTTTGCAAGATTACCTATATTCGGCTGACCAGTATACAGAATACAGTATCCATTTACAATAAATGATCCTTTCCATGCAACTGTGAAAAAGATTTTGCGTGCAGAAGCACATGAAGTGTACAATACTTATTCAATCATTGAAGTTTCTAATTGTAATTTGTCCATTTTTTATTGGACCAGGAAAGGGCAAGAACCATGGTTGTGATACTGTCAAGGGTCCAATTGTAGGTGGCCCGTTCGCTCTAATTGATACGGAGAATCGGACAATTACTGAAAAGAATTTTCTGGGGAATTGGGTGCTCATATACTTTGGCTATACGTCGTCTCCTGATGTTGGACCTGAGCAAATCTGGACAATGGCCAAGGCTGTAGATATGTTAGGTTTGCCAATTTAATTTATTGAGATGTTTTATCCTTAATTTTTTGATATATCTCTGACATTGTTTTATTTTACTTGAAGAATTGAAACAGAATCTTAAGGTCTTACCAGTCTTCGTTACAATTGATCCTCAACGTGATACACCTGCACAACTCCGTGCTTACCTTAAAGGTCTGGAAGTCCTACAACAGGCTATTTTTGTGGAGCATCTTGAATTTGTTATATTGAAATATTTGCCTAACCTGATCATTTCGAATTTTCTATTTTAAGTATTGTAGAGTTCGATTCAAGAATATTGGGATTAACAGGACCAGATAGCGCCATAAGGCAGATGGCACAGGAATACCGTGTTTATTTCAAGAAGGTCGAGGAGGAAGGGGGTGATTATCTTGTTGAGTCTTCCCACGGCATGTGAGTCACAACTCCCAGACCCCATTATTTCTTTCCTTTACTTTTGCTAGCACTAAGGTCTTTCTCGGTTTGCGCTCGTTGATCATGTGACGTTGAAATCGACAGGTATTTGATGAACCCAAACATGGAGGTTGTTAGATGTTTTGGGGTTGAGTACACTGCAGAAGAACTAGCAGAAGAAATACTAAAGCAACTGAAGAAAACTCTAGCAGCTTGATCATTCAAATCCCTTTCAAGCCACCTACCGAGGAAACAACATCATTTTCGGACCTTTCCAGGTAATAAGAGAAGAAAAAACTCCATGTATGACTTTTACTCGGATTGATTGATACCATCTAACAAGTCCTTGACAAGAGTTGGACATTCAAATCACTTGGCTGAAGTGTAACTTGGCCAATTTTTTTTTTACCAAATTAACATTTTTTCCTTGTAGGATCATACATTGACTCAACTAATTCACAATGAAAATGAAAATTTTTCTTTGGAAAGGTGATCTTGTTATTGTGATTAGTACAAGTTTATCGATCAAACCTCTCCCCTTATGGCTGGATGGTAAGTCCTTTAACTATTGAGATTAACTATACTAAAGGGTTTTGTGTTCGAGTTGAGGGAGCTTGTAGGGTTGGTTGGCAATTGTGCTCAGATATCTCTGTTATCGAAAAAAAGAAAAAAACAGTTTAGTCCTTTCAATGACTAGCCTTCAGTAAAGGAATCTTGATTGAAGCCTCATTCCAGAATTAGGTTAGTTTGGCCGATAACATTATCAGATTGATATTATTATACGGATATTGTAACATGTATTTTTTTAATAAAAAATTATTTATCATTTAGGTAACATTACCCCAATTGGCATGCAAAATGTCAAACTGTTTCTAGAGACGATGGAGTCGATGAGTCAATGTCATTCCCCTACCCACCATTGAACTTTTCTTTGGGCCTAATTAATTCTATAAATTCACTGAATGACCCACTTCTTCAGAAATTGAAATTGACTCCTTCAATCAATTTGGTCAATTTTTTTCAGAATTTAAAATCTCTATTTTTCATAGCCAAGATTACTTTTTAATTAATTAAGTTTAATCAATCCTCCTTTTCTGTCCATTGACTATTAACTTTCCCACATTTTCTTGACAGCCAAGCATACCCATCAAATCAATAAATTAAATATTTGAACCAATTGGATTCAAATCGAAAGGATCAAACCAGACCGGAAAATTTGGAACATTACATTCGGTTCATTTTGAATTTTCTGTTTTAAGTATTGTAGACCGAGTTATGGCCTCGTAATTTTCTGAGCTTGAAGGAAAAGTCACACACAATAAAGACGTTGGCAAACATGTTGGACTAGCTTTTATAATTATAAGCACTGTTATTTAAGGTTGTGATTTTAGACTTGTAGGGTGTTTAATAGACTTCGAAGATTAGTTAAGATACGCATAAACTGACTCGAACATCCGGATTAAAAAAAAAAAAATAGAGACAAGATCAGGAAGAACTTAGACAAACATCGAGGAAATGTAACACGTCATATTGAGCGATCTCTATTATTCGAAGATGTTCCATTGCCCCTAGAGGCTCGAAATCCATCTACATTCAGTCGAAAGAACATTCCCTATTGCATGAAATATTCTGAGCTCAAAACCACCACGTACCCCTGAAGCATCTATTATGTGTTAACAAGCTAGGACTTAATGACACTTTTGCATGCATAAAAACCAAAAAAACTTCAACATAACCATTCGCCACTTCCTGAACCATCTACTAATTTTTTCACCTATAAATACCACTCTCTGTAGTCATCTTCTTCACAACAATCTCTATTTCTATTCTCTCTACCTAGCTAATCATGGGTTACTCTTCTTTGCTCTCTTTTAGTCTAGGCTTTCTTCTTCTATTTCATTGCAGTTTCGCTCAGATAGAACAGGTTGTAAATTCACAGCAACGACAACAGCAGCAACGCTTCCAGACTCAATGCCAAATCCAGAACCTCAATGCTCTTGAGCCCAAGAGGAGGATTGAATCTGAGGCTGGTGTTACCGAGTTCTGGGACCAGAATGAGGAACAACTACAATGCGCTAATGTCGCTGTGTTTCGCCACACTATCCAGAGCAGAGGCCTCTTAGTCCCTTCATACGACAATGCTCCTGAGCTAGTCTACGTTGTTCAAGGCAAATTCAATGCTTATTTTTTCTAACATTAAGATGTGATATACATCTGTAATTACATTTTGATATTATCCTAACATATGAAAATAACATTTTTGTAATGGTCAATTCAGGTAGTGGCATTCATGGAGCTGTATTCCCAGGTTGTCCTGAGACATTCCAAGAAGAATCACAGTCACAGTCACGGTCACAGCACTCAAGATCAGAAAGGAGTCAGCAATCAGGAGAACAGCACCAAAAGGTCAGGCCTATCCGGGAGGGTGATGTCATTGCATTGCCTGCAGGAGTAGCTCACTAGATTTATAACAATGGCCAGTCCAAGCTTGTTTTGGTCGCACTTGCGGACGTTGGCAATTCCGAGAACCAGCTCGACCAGTACCTTAGGGTAACAAAAGCAACATTAATTCAATGAATTTACTTAGTATATATAGCAATATTGTCTATAATTCTGTAAATTATTCATTTTGAAGAAATTCGTCCTGGGTGGAAGCCCACAACAAGAAATTCAAGGTGGTGGTCAGAGCTGGAGCCGAAGCCGAAGCCGAAGCCGAAGCCAAAGCCAAAGCAGCAGAAGAGGGCAGCAGGGACAGCAAAGCAACAATATCTTGAGCGCCTTCGACGAGGAGATACTTGCACAATCTTTCAACATAGACACTCAGCTAGCCAGAAGACTGCAGAAAGAGAAGAGGCAGAGGGGCATTATTGTCAGAGTTCAGGAGGACCTTGAGGTACTATCACCACACAGACAAGAACAAGAACAAGAATACGAAGAAGAAAGAGAGCGAAGACAGAGAAATGGTTTAGAGGAAACCTTCTGCACAATGACGCTAACGTACAACATCAATGACCCATCACGCGCTGATGTCTATAACCCACGTGGTGGACGCGTCTCTAGCGTCAATGCCTTAAACCTACCCATCCTTAGATTCCTGCAGCTTAGTGCTAAGAAAGGAGTACTTCACAGGGTAAGAAAATAATTAAATACATATTAGACTGTCAAAGTGTGCACAATTATTTTTAAATTGAATTTTCTAACTAATAAAAACGCTTATATACTTGCATGTTGTCAGGATGCTATCCTGGCACCTCACTGGAACGTGAATACTCACAGCATAGTTTACATCACAAGGGGCAATGGCAGGATTCAAATTGTCTCAGAGAATGGAGAATCTGTATTCGATGAGGAAATTCGTGAGGGTCAGCTTGTGGTTGTTCCACAGAACTTTGCAGTGGTGAAGAGAGCAAGCAGCGATAAATTCGAGTGGGTATCATTCAAGACCAATGGACTCAGCCAGACCAGCCAGCTGGCTGGACGTGTCTCAGTGTTTAGAGCGCTACCATTGGATGTAATCAGGAACTCGTTTGATATATCCAGAGAAGATGCGCGGAGATTAAAAGAGAGTAGGTCTGAGACGACAATTTTCGCTCCAGGGTCAAGCTCACAGCGAGAGAGTCAAAGCGAGAGGGAGAGACAGAGGGAGAGGGAAGAGAGGGAGAGACAGAGGGAGAGGGAAGAGAGGGAGATACACTGAGCTAAGCCCTAAGTGTATGGTTGTAATTTGTAAACAAAATACGTCCGTATGGACGACTATGTACGTAGAGGTTAAGAAATAAAGCCCTTAATACTAATGGGGTTGTGGAAGGACTAGACTGCCGGAGCGCGTTCCTAAGTTTTATGGCAACAATCAAAATAAATGTTTCATCTATGATGGTTTATCCAGTTTTGCCACCAGTTTGTTCTATAATTTTTACTTTTCATTTTAGAAAATATTCTCTTCATATAAAAAATCTTCCTTAACATTATAAAATACAACAAATTTATAAGAGCAAAATTTTTCCATACAATATGATCAATACAGGTCAATGAGACAACAAGAGGCCTTAAGTAAACAGGCTGAGAATCCAGGCGCAACATTGCAACAATAAAACATGGCCCAAAGAAAAAGCCACGCCGCTAGAAGCCCTCTCATGAAGACATAAATGGGTTGTTAAAGCATCTTTAAATGACTCTTTATATGACTCAAACTTTTTATTATAAAGAGTTTATTCATAAAAATAAGAGTTCAACAGACTCTTCATCTTTAAAATATAAATTAGAAAGTGAGTTTGACTCTCCACATTTAGAGAGTCAAATTTCACTCTCTATCCTAATTTTAATTAATAAACTATAAGTTCCTATACATTTTATTTATTAATTCTCTTTTTCATTAAGTCCCTTTCTTAAAAATAAAGAACATCTTTATTAAATTTAAAGAGTCTATTGGATTTGAATAAAAATTATGTACTTTATATTTTAAAAATTAATGAAGATGCTCTTTATTTATATGAAAGATGTTTTTTAAAATAAAGAGTATCGTTGGAGATGCTCTTAATAAACTCTACGTCTAATTATCCTATAAATGTAATTTTAAAAATAAATATATATGATAAAACAAATTTAGATTGATATACCAAATATTGAAGCTAAAGTTGATGCTAGATTACTTATGGGACATGAACCACAGGATACGACGAAAACAGTAGACATTTAGCATTAATTTACAAGTACAGCATCCATTTATTTCAATACCATTTCAAGACTTTTAGCATAAAAATAACACTTTCTGTAAATAAAAATTTTATTACATTCCAAGCTTGATTTGAACATTAATTATCCTCTGGCTTTGGGTTGAAGTAGTTATATATGGCATCCCTGCGCCCCTCGAAGTAAACATGCATCTTGTCTTTGGGTGGTAGGTTGTCTTTGATAACTGGGTGGCTGAGAAACTTGGCCATCCAAGCTGTAATGGCTGGAAATTTCTCCTGGTTAAAAATCTGCACAGACCCAACTTCTTGCCAGACGGGTAGCCAGTAAGCAATCCATCCAACTGCCAAATCCAAATACCCAATGCTCTCTCCTTCAAAATGCTTCTTTTCTTTGAACTCTCCCTCTATCTTTTCCAATGCTTCTATTGACTCTTTCACTGCCTTCTCTCATTGCAGTCCATGAAGCATACAAAAGCTAAACCAACCATAACAGAACGGTCATAAAATTATATACGGATGATGGATCATTTCTTAAAACTATTTATTCAATTTTGATGAGATGATGAGATGTGTTCCTTATCGTGTTAGTATTAACAGAAAGATGGGCAAAATCAAATAGGCGATGAAAAACTAGGTGAATAAAAATTAATCTACTCAGGAATAACGCTTCGCCACCCACTCTTCTCCAATTCTACAGTGAACTGTGTTTCGAGTGAACTGTGTTTCTGATGTGGGATCGTATTTGCATTCATAAATTATTCAGAGAAAGTAAAACAGAGAACCTACAAACTGGATTA